GGGGTTAGGGGTTAGGGTTTAGGGTTTAGGGCTTAGGGTTTAGGGGTTTAGGGCTTAGTGTTTCGGGTTTAGAGTTTAGGGGTTCCTGGTCTCTTGGTTTTTCGAAGTTCCCCAGTAGACCTTTAATAATAAGGATACCCTTTTTGCTACTATTTGGTTTCAAGAGCTTCCTGGTCTCTTGGTGCTTTTTTCCTGCTTTGCCCATTCTGTCCGGAGGCTTTCGGGTTTCTTTTGAAAGGTTTAGGGTTTAGGGTTTGGGGTTTAGGGTTTAGGGTTAAATTTCGGCGGCGGCTCTGGTCGGGTTTTATAGGGTTTCAAAAAGTATTTATGGTGGTTGCGAAGTGCTTCCATGAGAGGAAAAACCCTAAACCAGGCGTCGTTTAGCAGAAAGGCACTTAAACTCTCTCCAAAATATTTTGAAATCCGTCTTTCAAACCCGTCCTTCAGACTTGAAAACGCCGTTATTTTCACCCAGAAGCCTCAGAGGCCCTAAAATTGAGACCTGCTTTCCAGAGCTGCCGAGCTTCATGGTACAGGACCCAAGGGAGATCCTGAGAAGCACATCGAAGGGCTCGGGCAGAAAATAGAGAGTTTCCGAAAATAGGGGGTACCTTATTTTGGGGTCCTTATAATAAGGATCCTACTATTTAGGGTACTATATTAGGGTCCCCTATTTTCGGAAACTCCCAGGCATCGAAGGGCTTTGGCTCAACATAGAGAAGACATGAGGTTCGGGTTTAAAGAATTTTATAGTGCTCTTAAGAGCCTCTTCAGGGTTTTTTTATGGGTTTTACGGTTTTTATGGGTTTTACGGTGTTTATGGGTTTTACGGTTTTTATGGGTTTTACGGCTTTTATGGGTTTTACGGCTTTTTACGAAGATTGATCGAGTCTCGCAGGGTGCAGTCCGAGATCTCGGGACACGATGAAACCGTTCAAACATCATAAACCCCTATACATCCGTTGCCACATGGAGATCCGGAACTTCACGTACACGACTGCCTATAGCAGGCTACCTCCTGCCCGAAACGAGCCACCTAATGATTCTCGCTTCGGCGGTCGCGCAGGACAGCGCATCTCACCATGCGACACCATGGCTTGATGTACTACCTAGGCATACCCATGGTAGTGAAACGGCACTGCATATTGCGGTACCGACACGAGCAGGAAACTGAGTAAGTAGGAGATAACTCCAGCTGTGCAAGTACTACAGGGGCCTGAGAAGAGCGTTTAGGGCTGCATTTATCCGTGGACCTTGAGGGAATACACATACTGATTGTTATTAGTATGTCTATTACTATTGTTACAAAAATACTAGTATTGCTATTCCTATTGTTACTGATATTGTTTGCTGCATGATTACTTCGAGTTTACTATTACGATTATAATATTATTTCCATTATAATTGTCTCTGCGTTCTTACTTGAAGGGTCGGGGGACTTAGTAACCTGGTTATTTTAGGGACTTATAAGTACCATAACCCCAATTAGGATCCCTTTTAGGGTACTTATAAGTCTACTTACTACCTACTTACTAAGTCCCCCGACCCTCCAAGTTACAGTCCATTCAGGCCGGGAGCATGGAGGTGTCCAGGGCCAAGTCCTGGAGATAACAAACAGACGTAAAAGTACCCCACAAGGGATCCTAATTGAATCTAATTGAGGTTATGATACTTCTAATTCTTGAAAATAGCTACTTACTAGCTCCAACGACCCTCCAACTACAGGATCAGAGGACTTAGTGCGGAAGCTTGTGCTACGAGTAGTACTTCTGGTTGTTTGGGCTATAGTACTTAAACTTACAACCTACTTGCTAAGTCTCTTGATCCTTGAAGTACGTGCTCAGATGGGAAGCGCCCTGATTTGTTGCTACAAATACGACTGTTTTGTTTGTCACACTCAGTATGATTGCGACGGATACCACCGCTACTACTGTGATTGGTATCGTACGTCGCTGCCCACGTCACCCTAGACATTGCTGGAGGATCATTGGATCACTTAAACAGCTTCTTGCAAACAAGCTTAGAAGTGCTCCGGCTCACCTGGTGAAACTTGAGCCAATGATGCATGAAAGCCATAAAAAACACAGAACCCATCCCAAATAGTAGGATCCTTGATGTGCAAACCACCCCAGTTCCGTAGAAAGGATTCCCTGGCCTTCTCCTGCCCTAAACCCTCTAAACCCTAGACCCCGGACCCCAAACCCTCAACCCCAGTTCCGATGCCCTGGCCTTCTTCTGCAGGGAAAACATGTAGCGCATAAGCTCGGTCTCAGAAGAGATCCTGAGCTTGCTTTGTTAGGAGCACCAGAAAGCACCTCGAGGAGGCCAAAGAAGGTGAAACCGAGTGTCCGGGAGGCAAACCGGATCTGCTGAAACCGAGTCTTTGGGTTTAGGGTTTGTTGGCTTCGGGGTATCAGGACTTTTCGAATACTCTCTAGGATTTTACCAGGGTGGGAAAGGGGTGCACATAAGGTTCTACAAAGGCTTTATGGTGGTTTGCCAGGAATACATATGTGTTTCCTAGGTACAGGGTCCGGAGTTCAGCTTTTAGGTTGTGCCTTTTCAGCTCCTGCACCCCGAGGTCCGCAGGCAGCAATGGTTGAGGCCGACCGAAGGGGCCCATGGTTCAAGGTTGTTCTTGGTTTCAGCGAGGCAGTTTAGGGTTTAGGGTGTAGGGTGTTGAAGGTTTGATGTCTTGGGGCTATGGGAGAAGACCTTGGGGTTTGAGCACATGTCGGTAGCAGCGAATGCTGCTTAGATCTTAAAATATTGTTCAGGGACCAGGGCAGTTTAGGGTTTAGGCACCCGAAACCCTACACCTTTAAGCCCGGTTTCGGGCCAAGGGTTTAGGGTCTGGGGGTTTGCGGCGACCACCGCGGACATCGCAGCCCAGGCGCGAGTTGAAGATCTTCTGCTCCTTGGGCTCAGGGCTATGGCACTACAACCGCAGGGTTTTCTATAAGATACTGTATTATACGATACTTTGATGATATACTATAATACAATATTTCATATCAGTGGCGAAGAAGAAGAGCCCTCAACGAACAGTCAGTAGACAACCCGTGGACTATCCAATGAGCTGACTCTCCTGATCCTACTTGGAGGATCATGGGACTTAGTAAGGTTACCAGTACCTTGATTGGGGTTATAAGTATCTATAAGTATAGTGACCTTGTTTATATCCCCACTTACTAAGTCCCATGATCCTCCAAGTAGACCCCTAAACCCTAAACCCTATAGATCCCTTTTAAGGAACCCCTATAGATCCCCTTTAAGGAGCCCTTTAAAGGAACCCCAGTCACTAAGTCCCATGATCCTTTAAGTAGAAGCTCGATGCCTTGGCGTGAAAATTGCTCTTCAGCTCCCCTTCTCGGAGGATCATGGGACTTAGTAAGTGGGGTTCCGAAAAGGGCTCCTTAAAAGGGATCTATAGGGCTCCTTTCAGGGATCTGTAGGGTTCCTTTAAAGGGATCTATAGGGGTTCTTTACGGGTTCTATAGGGTTTAGGGTTTCCGGTCTACTTAAAGGATCATGGGACTTAGTAAGAGGGGTTCCTTGGGTTCCTTGAAGGCATCTAGAGGATCATGACACTGAGTACGCGGGGTTAGAAGTAAGGTAATTATACCTTATAACTAGTTCGAACCCCAATTAACTTACTTACTAAGTCCCGTGATCATCCAACTAGGCCCTGTACCCTAAATCCTGTAGATCCCTTTAAAAAGCCCTTTAAGGAACCCTCATAGAAAACCGACACCCCATCGTAGGGGCCGTAAGAATTAGAGTAAGGCTTTGGGCCTATTCTACTTTGAATTAAAGGGAACTCCAGAAAGTTGGAATATAGATTAATGGTAGGATCCCCTATAATTTACCTTGAAGGGGTTACGATAATGGTATTCCAACTTTCTGGCTTCTACTATAATGTAGGACCCTATATCCAACTCTCAGCCTCCCCTCCAAAAAAGCGCCAAAGGTGCCAGGAAAGGCCCAGAGCGAGCAAAGCCGCCATCGATCCTGGGCTGAGAGGAGACCACTTACCGGGTTGCGGCCCTCGCAGAACCCTAAACCCCTAAACCCAATAAACCCGAAATCATATCCTAACCCTAAACTCTCAATCCTGAACCCTAAATCCCAACCCTAAACCCTATACTTAAATCCTAAACCCTAGACCTAAATCCTAATCCCTAAATCCAAACCATAAACCCCAAATCCTAAACCCCAAAAAGCACACCTCGGCAGACCCAGGCTCTCTCCGTTGACGGCCATGCTGGCAGCCGCTGTCGGGCTGGAGCCACCTTGGGCGGGTTTAGGGTTTAGGGGTTTAGGGTTTAGGGGCTTAGGGTTTAGGGGTTGGGGTTTAGGGGCTTTGGGTTTAGGGTTTAGGGGTTTAGGGCGGGCTTCGGGACTTCTGCCAAGACCCCTCAAATTCACAGCTACCTGACCTGTATGCCCTTAGGCAAGGGGATATACCTCAGGTATACTCCTGAACCACGTCATTTAGGCTGGGTCCTAAACTGCCGTCCAGAAACCCACACCCGCTTCCTTGAGAGCGGCGATCAGCGCATGCACGTCTTCCTGCTTCAAAGGGAAAAGGAGGGACCCTGAATGGGGACCCCTACCCTATAATGGCTATACAATGGGTATATAATAGCTATATTAAGGGTCTATACCCAGGGGTCCTTATTAAGGGTCCCTCCTTTTACCCTTGGACTGCTTGAAGGGTGAGGGGCAAAAACAGCAAGCTCATAAGTAACAGACCCCCGCCACCTTAATTGCAGGCCTACCAACTACCTACGTCTTAAACCCCCTGTCCTCTAATTAGCTTGCATGAGTATATAGGAGTTGCCGTAGCAGCTTTCGACAAAACAAGACTGTAATGCTAGTCATCAAAAATGCTTCCCCCAGAGAGCCCGATACTCCGTTTCAAGGCATACGCCTTAAAGCGTAATGCTATCACCAAAAACAGCTTCCGGAATACTAATGCGGCTTACAGAGCGGCTAACTTAAACCCTATATCCGTACCCCGCCTGCAGATGCGTCTCGTCAAAGGCCGCAGAGATCAAGCTGTCGTCGATCGCGCGCATGTTCAGCTGCTTCGCCTGCCGTTAAAGGACTTTACCAACGGTTTCGTAAAGAGTTGCAACAGGGCTCTGATGCGGCTCTATTAGTGAAGCTGTAGGGTTTTGTATCGGCTCTCACAGGTCTCAAAAAAGGGCTCTATAAGGGATTTATCGCCTTTTGTAGATGAGAAGGGCCTTGCAACGATTCCTTGAGGGTTTTGAGGTTTAGGTAGCCTGTTTGACTTAGTGTCACTTGCTCAGTCCAGACGATTCAAAGCTTCGCAGGCAACTAAGCCATTTCAGGAACCTTTGAAAACCTCTTGAGCTTTCAATTCGCCCCCTTTGCCTCCATTTACACGGCTCTTGTCCCGAAGCCCTAAACCCTCTTAAAAGGCTCTTGTTAAGAAGAGTCCTCCAAAGCAACCCCTGCTCCCATGCGACAACCCGAAAGCCTAAACCCGCAAACCCTAACCGGTTTAGAGTTTACCCAACGGTTTAGGGTTTAGGGTTTAGGGTTTACCCATAATCGAAGGAAGCCCCCCACAGCAGAGAAGAAAGACGCTGCCTGAAGCTTCTCCACCACAGCTTTGGCGTTCTTCCTTAAGGCAACGGGGACCCTGTACTAGGATCTTTCATGTGGCTTCATGACATTATATTCCCTAGTTGCAGAAATACCTTAAGTGTGTAGAAAGATCAAGGATGTCATTCAAGTCAGTTATGGTATCTTTCTTCAACAAGGTCTTTTCGGCAACGGTTCTGGGCCGAGCGCAACTGTCGTGCATGCAAAAGGCCCTACTACTCGCCAATGCTCCTGACCCTGTATGTTTGCGTGTGTGTGTCTATATATATATATATACACATATACACATGCACACACAGACATAAATAAACCCTTCGCAGATTGGCTTGCCGAGCGACCCGGCATCGATCGTAACAGTGTCGAAGAAGGACCCTGCAGCAACCGCCATGCCAGCCTTTCCCGCCTGCCCAGAGTGGTCATCTGTCTTGTTTGCCTACTAAGAAACCTCTATGTCTCATGTACCCTACATTGCTCGCCATTGTAACGTTGCTAACCCAAGACTTGCTAAGTCAAGAAGATGAAGATGGCGTGGGAGAAGAATGGTGATTCGAACGGAAGCTACTGGCGACGTTGAAGCCGATACCAGTGCTCATGATGAGCATGCTATCATTCCGCTAGCGGTAAAAGCTGGACACGCTTTCGGACCTCGCAGTTTCAAGTTATGTCAGCGAACTATACCAGACTCGTACGCCCAATGCAATAGAGGGCCTGACTAATTCGAAAAGCATTTGCGCGGTGCAGCGTAGGACACTATACTTACATATGGGGATGCTACCTCTTTCTCTTCAGAACCCTATGTCCACCAGATTCCCGCAGCCCATCTAGAAAGCGAGGGAGACGCCTCGCTTGCAAAGAGCTGCGCCAAGCCATGGACCTTCGGACATGTCTCGACTTGGGCAGCGTGAGATTGAGGAGCGTGGCTTAGTATATTGGGGCCGAAGCCCTATTCTAATCGATAAGGCCCCTGTATTATGCGTTATAGGCCGGAGATTGAGGATGCCTGAGCTTCAGCACAGGATGCAACTGCAGCCAGCCACAATCGAGACTGACGATTCAGCCCTGTCATCGAACCCGTATAGTATCCCTTACAGTATCCCGGAGAGTAAGGGAAAATACAAAAACTGCCCAAATCCATACCTAGTAGAGTAGTGTTCCGGCCTTCTTGGCGATTTTCTGGAGCCCATCCTTGCGATGATACCTAAGGTGGAGAGCTTGTCCGGGATTCGGGTTTAGGGTTTATTCACGGTTGTGGTTTCGGGATATCGGGTTTAGGTTTTAGGGTTTAGGGTTCAGGATTTACGGTTTAGTCTCTACGGTTGTGGGTTTAGGGTTGTGAGTTTAGGGTGCAATGCCTTCTAGCAGACTCCTGCAGAGATCCGTGATGGGTAGCTGCAATATGCATTTTAGTTGACGTGCTCATCATCGTTCAAGTTCATCAAGTTGGCTCGAGAAGACTTCCTGAAGAATGAGTAACATGGAATACCAGTGGCTCAATGCCTGCACGCCAAGAGTTTAGGGCTGAGGGTGTACTCAAAGGATCAGCGGCCTCCGTCAGTACCCCAAACCCTGATTGCTGATAAAACGAAGCGAAGCCCCAAAACGGCGAGTCTTGGTGTTAGCTTATTTTTCGGCCATGACTTAGCCAAGCCGCACGGAGTACATTCCGGCAATGTTGGCCAGCAGCACTTGCGCGGTGCACACGTTCGATGTGGCCTTTGCAACCATGCATCCGAATCTAGAGGTTTGACCAATCGGGCATAGTGCCCGCGTACAGTCCACAGGTAGCAACTCTAAACAACGCTGCAAGGCCCTGTTCTAATCATTCGGGCCCGTCCCATGACGCCTTGTCCCGCTTTAGCATGCCAGCAAGCATCAAATATCTTATGCAGCTGGTATCTCACAACATCGGACCTGTCAACCCTCCCACATGAACATCCTCGGCCTGTTCGTAACCCTTTCGGAGCGCATGCCAACGCCGCTAAACCCTAAACCACCCTAAACTCTAAACCGTCAAGCACCTTCAACACAAACCCTAAACCTTTGACCATCTCATCTTATGGAAAGCGCTGCACCCTTGGCATTCAATACAGAGAAAACTAAAATCTAAACTCTAAACCCTAAAAACTCTAAAACCTCGAACCCGGAAACCCTAACAGACCCCAAAACCCTAAAACCCCAAACCACCCAAGAAAAGCAGAAGCCCGCCTTGTCCAGCCGGATATGCTGCTCTCGGGTCTGAAGGGTCAGACGGTAGGCTGGGTTGCCCAGTCTGTCCACCGACCTTCGGTTCAGAAACTTGTAGGGCTCAGCGGAAGCCCACACGATACCAATAATAGCTGTACAGCACATACGAACGACAGTACTAGAAGTGAACATTCATGACACCAATGGGAAAAAACTTACTAACCTTGCATTCCGTCACTGAAGCAGCTGCGTCGCTTGATAACGCGGAATAGCTGCTTAGCTGGATCCAAACAACCCAGACCTTCCAAAATCCCAGAGCGTACCCCAGGGGAGGGGGAAGTGTTCCAGTTCGAGTTCCAGTTCGAGTTCGCGTTTGAGTTCGAAGAGGCAGTAGCAGCCCGGGGGGGGGGGGTTGAGTTCCAGTTCGAGTTCTAGTTCGAGCTCGAAGTAGTAGCAGCAGCAAAATTTCGGCGGGGGGGGGGGAGATCGAGTTCCAGTTCGACTTCGAGTTCGACCACCGGCCGGGCGAGCGCAGCCGGGGGGAGGGGGGGGCGAGGAGTTCGAGTTCGAGTTCAGAGTTCGAGTTCGACGTAGTAGTAGTAGTAGTAGTAGTAGTAGTAGTAGTAGTAGTAGTAGTAGTAGTAGTAGTAGTAGTAGTAGTAGTAGTAGTAGTAGTAGTAGTAGTAGTAGTAGTAGTAGTAGTAGTAGTAGTAGTAGTAGTAGTAGTAGTAGTAGTAGTAGTAGTAGTAGTAGTAGTAGTAGTAGTAGTAGTAGTAGTAGTAGTAACAGTAGTAGGACTGGTACTAGTAGTTGCAGTCGTAGCAGCGGGCCCCGGCGAGTTCGAGTTCCAGTTCCCGTTCGAGTTTGAGTTCGACGTGGTATTTTCGGAGCGCACCCCGGGGATGGGGGGGTTGGAGTTCGAGTTCAAGTGGGAGTCGTAGTAGAGCCGCAAAGTTTCCGGGGGGGGGGTGGGGGGTTGGAGTTCCAGTTCGAGTTCGAGTTCGACCACCGACCGGGCGAGCGCAGCCCCGAGGGGGGGGGTCGAGTTCCAGTTCGAGTTCGAGTTCGAGTTGTAAGGAGTAGCAGCAGCAAAATTTCGGCGGGGGGGGGGGGGGGGGGGGGGTCGGGGGAGTTCGAGTTCCAGTTCGAGTTCGAGTTCGACCACCGACCGGGCGAGCGCAGCCCGGGGGGGGGGGGTCGAGTTCCAGTTCGAGTTCGAGTTCCAAGGAATAGCAGCAGCAAAATTTCGGAGTTCCAGTTGGCGGGCGAGCGCAGCCCAAGAATAGCAGTTCCAGTTCGAGTTCGAGTTCGACCACCGACCGGGCGAGCGCAGCCCGGGGGGGGGTGGGTCGAGTTCCAGTTCGAGTTCGAGTTCCAAGGAATAGCAGCAGCAAAATTTCGGAGTTCCAGTTGGCGGGCGAGCGCAGCCCAAGAATAGCAGTTCCAGTTCGAGTTCGAGTTCGACCACCGACCGGGCGAGCGCAGCCCGGGGGGGGGGGGCGAGTTCCAGTTCGAGTTCGAGTTCCAAGGAATAGCAGCAGCAAAATTTCGGAGTTCCAGTTGGCGGGCGAGCGCAGCCCAAGAATAGCAGTTCCAGTTCGAGTTCGAGTTCGACCACCGACCGGGCGAGCGCAGCCGGAAAGGGGGGGGGTCGAGTTCCAGTTCGAGTTCGAGTTCAGGGTTAGCAAGGGGTCCAAGGCCCAGGGGAATGGGTCGTGCGGGTGGAGTGAGTCGAACTCGAACTCGAACTGGAACTGGAACAGTTCCAGTTCGAGTTCGAGTTAGGGTGGGGTTCCTAATGCAAAATCCCGTAATTAAGGAATACACGTTAAATTATGACAGGATCCCTAATATGAATTAGGGTATATTCCTTAATTCAGGAATACACCTTATAAAGGATCCCTAGTATTAGTTAAGGTATATTCCTTAATGAACGGATTTCGGGAGGTCTGGGAATGTGAGCCAGGACGCTCTCCGATGATTCGGCCCGGCATTCGTCGCACCTCTCACCACGGTCTGGACTTGTATGGCTTGTATCATATAACCCCCAAACCCTAAACCCTAGACCCCAAACCCTAATCCGAACCCCTCTATTAGCCCCTCTAAACCCTAAATTCTGCCCTACCCCCCCTAAAGCCTAAACCCTAAATTAGTCTCCCTAGACCCAAAAGCCTCTATTAGCCCCTCTAAACCCAGAGAGCCCAATACCCCTTAATTAAGGAATATACCTTAAATCATAATATGAAGCCCCCTATAGTTTAGGGTATACTCCTTAATTACGGGGTATTGGGGGCTCTGCGTGACTCCGGGACCACCCTGCCGCTATGCCACGTGATACAAAAACAGCATTGTCAAAGTTACTATGGTGACTACCTACGACACTGAGTGAGGTACCGCTTCTGCGATGACGATGTCGACCACAACGACAGCGACTAACACTGCCAATCCGAATTCAGAGTTGCGTTTAACTTGGGAAAGTTTAGATAATCACTACGGCCCACGTTTCGGCTTGGGGTTTAGGTCCAATCTCAGGTTTCGGGTTCCGTTGAACGGTTCAGCGTTTTCAGTTACTTAGGTCCCACTCCAAAGTTTGATAATGTAGGAACCTCATTAAGAAACCATATAGGCCCCAAAATAGTAGGATTCATCTAAGGAACCCTAATAAAGGCCCAAGGTTTCTGAATCAGGTTGCTACACTAGTACAGTACCCTTATAGATCCCTTATAGTAACCCTTAAAGACCGCTTTAAAGGAACCCTTAGGCCCAAGGTTTGTTAATCAGGTTCCTACATTACCGACATGCAGCTTCCTCTTGGCCGGCAGGGGGTGCCCTGAAGAGGGCGCTTTTTCACTTCTAGAGCCCTTCTCGGATTCAGGGTGTATGTACTTGGAGGGTCGGGGGACTTAGTAAGTAGGTAGTAAGTAGACTTATAAGTACCCTAAACGGAACCCTAATTATAATTGGGGTTATGGTACTTATAAGTCCTTAAAATAACCAGTTACTAAGTCCCCCGACCCTCCAAGAGGGCTTACTAGGGTTTACATAGGGCCTAGGGATGGCTGTGCGTTGATATAGTCCTTAGGGCTTAGCATTTCGGATAGAACAATACATCTCCTGTACACCAAATCCGTAAACCCTAAACCCTAATCCCTAAACCCCTAGACCCTAAACCCTGTCCCAATCTTCGTTAGGGAACCTTAAAACAACAAATACATCTCCTGTGCAAAAAATCCGTAAACCCTAAACCGTAATCCCTAAACCCTAAACCCCTAAACCCTATACCCTGTTACATCCCCTTAAGGCCCTCTCTCTTAGGCCCCACTGTGTCAAAGGGGGGCATCGGATCGCCTGCTTCTTCGACGTGGCCAGGTACGCGGCAGAAGGTCCACCGAACCACATGGGCACGCCTGTAGAACATAATATTAGGATTTTTTCAGTTATTACGAATAACTGAAAAAAACCTAACATTATGTGGGCCTGTAGAACATAATATTAGGGTTTAGGGCGTGGGGTTTCAGTTATTACGAATATTAATTACACCTAGCTGTACTATTACTAATTGAAAAAAGTTTACAGCTTGTTTTTCTGGCCTATTTCTGCTCCTGCCGAGGTCACAGAAAGCGTCATAGAGGCGGGCTACTTGATAATTGTAGGGTTTGGGGCTTGGGCTTTGGCGTTTTAAATTGTAGGATCTGGCACTTTCTCTGGTTTTCTTAGTTGTGGTTTTTTAAGGCTTAGGGCAAGGCTTGGGCATCTGGATGTAGGCAGAACACCATGAAGCCCCGACACCAAAACCTCCCTAAAGGTGCTTGGGCGCCAAACCTCCGTATTGACCTCCAAGCCCCAAGCCCTAGACCACTTACAAAACTCCGCCCTTGTGATAATCCTACAGAGCCCTTTAACGGTTCCATAGGGCTGCCACGTGACCAAAACGCTGCATGGAGCCCACAACCACGTCGGCACCGAACTCACCTGAGTTTAGGGCGGCTTTCGGCCAGCTTAGACTGGGTCCTAAACCCTAAACCCTGGGTTTAGGATTCAGGGTTCAGGCTTTCGCATCTTACTGCCCCAGGGCCCGAGGAAACGCGAGGCTAAACTCTGAGACTAACGGTTGGTTATGTCAACCTGAAAAGGTCAAAACCGCGAACACTTGCTGTCTCCCTTCTACAAAACTCACCCTCCTACAAAACTCCGAAGCTTAAACAAAGCACTAAAACGACAACATTCTCAACATTACGGCCCCTATACTATAGGTCTCTAAATATAGAACCCTGAAGAGCCCCTCCTAACAGGGACCACATTCTCAACATTAATGCCCCCAGAACCCTAAACTGTAAACCCTATCTATAAACCCTAACAATATTCTACTTTTCAGGGCCCCTATGTGACCTTATAGTGCCCTACTCTGTTGAAAGCCTCTGTATAAATGTCAAAGGCCCCTGTGCTACCTGACCAAGCGTCTGGGAGGCTTTGCCAGCACCAGCGAAAGCCTCGGTCAACAGGCTCTTGGTTCAGGGCTCTCTTGGCTTTGGGTTTTATTAGTTTAAGGGAACTCTAAACCCTAAACCCCAAACCCTAAACCCTAAACCCTAAAGTTTATGGGGTTGAGGGGTTCAGGGGGCTTTAGGGTTTAGGGGTTGGGGGCTTGAGGGGCTTTAGAGGTTTTGACAAGGGTTTACGGGAATCAGGGTTTAGGGCTTTGGGGTGAGTGAGGGCTCCTCTGGGCTTTTACAGTAGAAGCGAGAAAGTTGGAATACATTATCGTACGGTTTAGGGTTTAGGGTTTAGGGTTTATGGTTTAGGGTTTAGGGTTTAGGGTTTAGGGTTTAGGGTTTTTAGGGTAGGTAAATTATAGGGGATCCTACCATTAATCCATATTCCAACTTTCTGGAGTTCCCTTTAGGGCCTTCGGTCTTTGGACAGTATTTCTGGATTGCGGGCTCCAGGCTCCATGGGTTTAGGTAAGCTGATAGCAAAGGTTTCTTGACATCCACTTTGATCGGGGATAGAAGTGAGGTAGCATGTCAGAACTTCTACTTCGTGATCATAAACCCCGATTGCGGCACATTCTAGCTATGGCAGCTATGGCAACCCACTTCACTATAAAAGACATCTGAAACACTGAAGGGTTGAGCCCCCACAACACACAGAAGAGAGTTGAATTGGGAGTTTCCGAACATAGGAAACCCTAATATTGTAGCCTAAATAGTAGGATCCTGATTACAAGGACCCCGAAATCAGGTACCCCTAATTTTCGGAAACTCCCAATTCGTAGCGTTAGCCCAAGTTGATGCAAGTCCAAGGGAAAATGGAGGGACCCTTAATAAGGACCCTTCGGTATATACCCTTAATATAGCTATTATATACCCATTATATGGCCCCATTATGGGGTAGGGGTCCCCATTAAGGGTCCCTCCTTTTCCCCTTTGAGCCAGGTGGCGGATCGGCAGCGACGGTAAGGTAGGCGCCATTCTTGTGGAGGGCCTGCTTTCTCGTGCTTAGGGCCTTTACTTGGAGGGTCGGGGGACTTAGTAAGGGCTCCTTTAAAGGGGATCCTAAGGGCTTCCTTTAAAGGGCTCTATAGGGGTAGTATAGGGTTTATAGGGTTTAGGGGTTCAGGGACTTAGTAAGTAGGTAGTAAGTAGACATATAAGTTCCCTAAAAGGGACCCTAATTGGGGTTATGGTACTTATAAGTCCCGAAAAAATCCAGTTACTAAGTCCCCCGACCCTCCAAGTAGGGCTTACTCAGAGGCTCCATAGTAGTTCCTTTTTGGGATTACCTTACAGGATTCTATATATGAGCCCCAAAAAGGAACTACTTTGGAGCCGTAGGGTAAGGCTTAGGGATGTAGAAAGTATGTTTAAAGCAGCCCTAACAGTACTACGAAGCCAAGTAGGGTTTTCGGGTGTGCGGTTTCGGGTTAGGTGCGGCCAGGGGGAAGTCCCAAAATAAGGTAGCCCCTATTCTCGGAAACTCTAGACCCTTATAGAGCCCTTGAAGGAACCCTCATAGTACCCTTCTAGTAACCCTTTAAAGCAATCCTGAAATCCTATATCCGAGTTTCTTAGTCTGCTGGACGTTCAGGCTCGCTAGCCAAAGCCCAAGCTGTAAGCGGTGCTATATTGGGTACGAGAAGAATAGGATAGCGGTTCTGTAGGCTGCGGCAGGGGTTTTGTGGATTAGGGTTTGTACCCTCATCTCTCAAATTTCCAATACTTACTGTATACTTTTTTTCTCTCTCTCCCTCTCTCTCTCTCTCACTCTCTCCCTCTCTCTCTAAATGTATATATATATATATACATAAACATACACACTCACACACAGAGACAAACACCAAATCCAATATAAATCAATATTAACCTGACCTCCTGTGAGAGTGAAAGCAAAGTAGCTCGATCTCGCTTTTCTTGTAAGTCCGGCCTAAATCCTAAACCACTAAACCCTAAGCCCTAAACCCCTACACCCCAAACCCAAAACTCCTAAACCCCTACACCCTAAACCCAAAAACTCCTAAACCCCTAAACTCCCAAAATAAGGCACTTCGAAGTTTCGGAAACTCCCAAACCTGGGCAATGCTCGAGTAGTCATCGAACCGTCCAGTGGTGTCCGGATACCTGAGCTCTCATGTAGAGGCTTTCATACTTAACTATACTATTAGACCAGGGTTCCTGTAAAGGGTTCCTTAAAGGGACCTATAATACGGCTCTATATTAGGTGCATTCATAATCACCCATACTATCTTGGGGGGTTCCTTAATATAGTCGTAGTATATGGGGCCCCCCAACCCTCTTCTAATTATTAAGGCCGCTATATTAGATGGGGAGGCTGTGAACTTTCCCTTGTGAAAGTTCTTTACGGCTTTGCGAGATGTTAGAAGTGTTCTGACTCTCTTCTTCAACAACCGGGCCCCAAAAAGTTCAAACTTTCTAAGACGGAGCTAATATATAAGACCAAAAAGTTTAAAGTTCCCCCGTTCACTATCTAAGTTGAAAACTTGGAGATTGTAGGGATTTTAGGGGTCTAAGAACAGCTGACTGAGTTTACGGGCTCGGGGGCTCAAAAGCGACCTTGCCAGGCAGATTGGGCAAGTGTTTCAGCGCGTTGACCTCAACTAGGAAGTCATGCTCCTGCCTGGAGCTGACTTGGATCATCATAGGACTTAGCAGGTAAGGTTATAAGTACCTTAATTGTGGTTGTAAGTAGTCATAAGTACAGTTACCTTATTTATAACCCCGCATACAAAATCCCATGATCCTCTAAGTAGTGATTACTGAACAAAGGCCCTGATCTTTACATTGGGTATACAGTATACACGCAAAAGGACGCGTTTCGACGGTTCTCCAGCATGAAATCCCCCCTTATAGGAAAAACTGATCTGTTCCGTCGCAGGTGCGGCTTCCTGTTGACCTTCCAAGGGTAAAAGGAGGGACCCTTAATGGGGACCCCTAGGTATATACCCTAAAAATAGCTATTATATATCCATTATATAGCCCAATATAGGGTAGGGGTCCCCATTAAGGGTCCCTCCTTTTCCCCTTTCAGACCTGGCTCAGATCACGGAAGAGCGTAAGTACGAGATGGGAGTTTCCGCAAATAGGGGACCCCAATATATTACCCTAAATAATAGGATCCTTAGTATAAGAACACCACATAAGATAAATAGTAGGATCCTTTATTATAGGAACCCCAAAATAAGGTACCCCTCGTTTTCGGAAACTCCCAGATCGGTGGCACGTACCTTCGAATAATGGCCAACGGAATATGGCAATATCAAACACTGACAGCCGCGCACGCAGACACACCGAGAAAGCCAGTCTGAGCGGAACTGCGGGATATCGACCGCAAATGCAAGGGACATGTTGTTTTTTGAGGGGCGGTGGAGGGGGGGGGGTATACAAAGCGGCTCTCCGAATCGCCTCAACTCCTGAACACCAAACACCCGACAACAGCTAGCCCCCAACCTAAATTCCCAACTGAACCCCCTCAAGTAACCCTAAACCCACCAAACAAAAACTAAACCCGTAACCAACAAAAAAACAACTTAAACCCGTAAGGCCCTGACCCTAACCCAAAACTTCCTTTCTCCTCCCTGGTGCTTAGTAGGGAATGGAGGAATGGATCCCTATAGGAGTCCCTATATAATCCCCAATAATAATCTCCATATCCATTCCCCCATTCACTACTAAGCATCAGACCCTAAAACCCTAAACGCTAAACCCTATAGATCCCTCAAAGGAACCCGTATAGTACTCCTGGGAACCTACTAAGCACCAGTTGGTCTTGCGGTGTGGGAGGCTGGACCAGGGCCCCGAAGAGCTTGTCCATGGAGGCGAAGTCCGTCTTCTTGTGGTCGCCGATGACCAGCTCCTTGCTGTGTGTTTGTTTTTCAATTCTTGGTTCAGGGTTGGGGTTTAAGAGTTCAGGGGTGCAGGGTTCAGGGTTTAGGGGTTTCTGCTATTAGGAGTTTAGGGTTTAGGGTTTCTGCTATCAAAAGCTTTCAGAAGGCCTTGCTGGGTTTGGGCTTTAGGGCTTTTAGGGCTTAGGGATTCTAGGCTTCAGCGTTTCGCTGCAGGGATTTAGGGCTTTAGAGTTTAGGGCTTTAGGGCTTCAGGGTTTGGGGCTTAAGGGTTTGACGCTTTATGGGTGAGTTCTAATGGGGCTGCCTGGGGCTTAGTGGAGTCTCTTACTGCGATTTTGCACACAGGGTTTCTTGGAAGCCTCATAGGATTCGAAAAAGGCGGTTAGGGTTTAGGGTTTAGGGTTTAGGGTTTCCATCACGACTGGGCCAGACTTTAACTTTGCTCTTAGCGCTCCAAAAAGATGACAATGCTTTCAACAACATTGCGAGCACACGGATCTCGCTCCGCACCTCCGCTGCCATCAATGCAATCACTGTAGCCACCACCATCGTTCACGTATGGTTTTTCTTCGATGTCTGTTGCTTGCAGCACCAAGTCGACTTGATCGCTTGCTTGGCACTCTATGCAGAACGCAGAAATGGCGGGTCCGGCGCACACCTGTTGCCAAGTGGCGGGACTGTCTGAACTCGTCGGTGCCCTGCACTCCATGCTAAGACACCGACCGGACACACAAAACTGGCTCGAGCAATCGAATAAGTACAAGGACTTTCTCAGCCTTGAGGGTCAGACTGCCTCGTGTCTGAACCAGGCTAAAGCTCACATGCAGTTCTCACTGGTGGCCACAGGCTCCGCGTGAGACTCGCCGCTTTGCGTCTTGCCCTTCTCGGAGCTCTGTGCCGGTCCGTGAAACATCCCACCCATCTCGGACCAGTAGTAGCATGGGCTCAGCAGCGCCCAAAACATTACATAGCCCGCATGGACCTGGAAAGGCAGCAGCGGATCCTGGATCCTTGTTCATGGTTGGGATAGGAAAAAGCATGTACATTTTTATTACTTGTAGGGTTTAAGTACCTATAAAAATGCAAAATGTGACCCAACTGACAAAGGAGAAGCAACCCTATATTAGCCCCCCTAAACCCTATATCAGACCTAAACCCTGAAACCTAACTTAGCCCCCCTAAAGCCTGAACCCAAGGCTCGGCTGGTAGAAGCAGAAGCCGGCAATCACGGCCCCGAGATTTCCACCGGCACCCACAAGCGCGGACACCACTGCGAGCTGCTTCCTGACGTGCGCATACTGTAAGGGCCTAAATGATTACCCATACTATTTTGGGTGTCCCTTAATACAAATATTGTATAATATACCCCGAAACCCCATTCTAATTACTAAGGCCCCTATGTTACTACCAGTCGGTACGAAGAACTACGAAGATAAGTTGTTGCCATGACCCGATTACTTCACACCTAGATATGCTGACAGACATGTCCAAATTTGATGCAACGGTGGCAACCGCGAATCACCCAAAAATCTTCCATGCACTGATCCAAGCTTCCGGTTCATGAAGGGCACGATGCCGTAGGAGGTGCCCTCAGCCATCTGCACAAAGAGCGAGAAGCAAACCAAGACTGCCAATGCCACGTACCAAGGCTGAGAATTGTCCACGTTTCCGAAACTGAATAGGAAGATAGCTTCGAAGAAGAGTGCCAGGAACTGCGCCCAAATGCGGCCACGGAAGCCCAAGTACTTGAAGCAAACATCGCTGCTGATACCTCCAAGTGATCGAGCAAAAAGGTTCATCAAGCCGAAAGCACCCGCCAGGGCGCTAGCATCACCTGCATCCATCTGGAAGTATGTCCGAAAATGCGTAGCCAACTGATTGTTCATTGCGAGTTCTGTGCCGAAACACGCGGAATATTGGAATATCATGACCACGACGCGAAAGTCACGCAGCACCTCGACATAGTCCCACATCGAAGGCTTTTGTGTCTTGCCGGTCACGGCCGGATCGTAGTTGCGTGCCGTAGGCATATCCCAGCACATGAGCTTCATGCAAACGGCACAAACTACGAACATGACCGCTGGCACCGCCATGCAGACACGCCAAGCGACATTCGGCTCCAACCCGGATGCCACCATAGGGTTGAAAAGTACAGACATCATAAAAATCTGGGTCACGCCGCCTCCCAAGTTGCCCCAACCGGCCGCAGTGGCGTTGGCCGTGCCGACAACACTGGGCGCAAACATCAGCGAGCACCAGAACTGATTGGTCACGAAAGTGGCGCCGGCGCAACCTATGAAGAAGCGGATCAGCGTATAGTTCCATGGAGCTGTAATGGCGGCCGCCATTGCCACCCAGAAGGCCCCAAAAGACAATAAGCCGCACTGAACGTTTACCGGACCGAAGCGCTCGAGGAGCGTCCCCAAGGCAACCCTCACGAAGATGGTCGAGGAAACGGAGGCTACGCCGGCATTCCTTGGTTGGGATAGGATTAACATGTAATTTGTTATTCCTTATTGGGTTTAAGTAACCATAAAAATGTAAAATGTAACCCAACGATGACAAAGATTCGCAATCACCGACCTACATTCCGTGCCCGGGGTGCACACGCAGTTTGCCAGCACCTGCGGCCTGTACTTCTCCTTCTGCTCAGCCGTTGACTCGGCGCCACTCACCACATCTGCTGGCACGTCCTCGCAGTCGATCGGCTTGCCGTCCTCGTTGAGAACCCCATACTGGCAATAGCTCAGCCCACTCTTCAAGTTCTTGAACTTCAGGTAGGCTGGTCGCGTTGGGAAGTCCGTAGGAGGGAAGAGCTGGTTCTCGCACGTCCCCATGCTGGTCGCAACTTCGAGGCCCAAGGGCGCCAAGGCAAACCAGCCTTGGCAGCTTACACTTTTTGTTTTGATAACAGTGTACGTTAAAGGTTGAAACGAGCTAAGCCCAAAAATGCGAAGATTACATAGTAATAATAAAATTGTGCGAAGCAGCCCAAGAAGGCAAGGAAGAAAGATATGGTGCTGGCCCAGAAGGCCCGCATGTGCGGATTCTGCTGCACGGTGCCGCAAACCCTCAAGAGCGGCAGCTCCGTGGCCTTCTTGCTGGAATCCACTGCCAGCTTGTACTCCATGGTTCTACAGAGCGGGATGACAGTACTCTGTTTCCTGGAAGCTAAAGCTCGAGCACCAGTAACTCGCTCCAGAAAATGCCAGGTTTACGGCTTGGGCTCAGGCCCAGGCGTTCGGGGCCATTGTTGCTGTTCTACTGCATACACTGCTCCCGATGCGCAAAAACAACCCTTGTCAACCCTGCAGTAAGCCCCTGGCCATGCCAAAGTAGTGGGCGCGTGTCTTGAGACAATCGATTGTCTGCGGGTGGACCGCGTCGCTGATGAAGAACCTGCTAGCGTCGTTTATGATTTAGAATTCAGGTTTTTATTGGATTTCGAGTTTACGGTTTCTGGGTGTTAAGTTTGGGGTTTGGGGTTTAGGGCTGCGGGTTTTGGGAACTTAAACCCTAAATCCCGATCTTTCAACATACCTGTCCCCGCAGTCATGGTGGAATACCTAGGATCCCTTGCGGAGTATGCCTTCAATAGCGCTCAACTTGGCAACATTGTAAGCATTGCGGGTCGTGTGGCACTTGAACCCCGCTCTTAATCTTAAACCCTAAACCTTAGAAGATGCCCCCCACCCTGTAACAGTGACTATAAGACTATAAGGATTACAGGGTGGGGACCCCTTCTAAACCCTAAACCCTAAATCCTAAACCCTAAACTCTAAAGCCCTAAACCCCTAGAAATCCTAAACCCCAAACTGCGGGAGGGGGGGCCCTTCTAACCTGAACCGTAAATCCTAAACCCTAAATCCTAAACCCTAAAGCCCTAGACCCCTAGAAATCCTAAACCCTAAATCCTAAATCCTAAATCCTAAACCCCAGAAACGCCGTTCAGCGGCTGGTTCTTGGACTTCGAGTTCACGGCCCGGGCGATCCTTGGAGTGGCGGAGAACCCGTATTAAAAACTTCATATAGAACCCCTATAACATGAGGGCCTTAATGATTAGAATAGGGTTCCTTTTAATGGGTCTATGAGGGTTACTATAAGGGATCAAAAAGGGTACTATAATATAGGGGCGTGAAACAATTAGAATAGTGTTCCCTTAAGGGTCCCTTTAAACGGTTGAGTGTTTAGGGTCTATAATTAGGGTTCCTATATAGGGCTGTATTTAGGGGCCTCAATAAATAGAAAACGGGTTTTGGGCGCCTTCATAGTATGGTCATAATAGGGAACCCTAGGGGATTATCTAAGATTTAGGCTTACATCGTATAGCAACTTGGCTCCCTTCATTCCGTCTTGTGCGGATTCTCATAGGGGTTTACACGGGTGTTGTAAGGGTACGTACCGGCTTTATAGGGGTTCTTGTGAAACAGAGCGCTTCACGTTGCCCCATGATAAGGACGACAAGGACACAAAGATAAAATACACTGTTTTTTACTCTTCTCATTGCAGTTTAAACTGCAACAGCTAACCCTACTTGGAGGCTCATGGGGAGTTATAAGTGGGGGTATAAGTAAGGTAACTATAGTTATGACCCATATTAGGGGACTTATAACCCCACTTATAACTGCACAAATTATAATAATTACAACTCGAAATTAGGCGGGTGACGTCGCGGATAATTTCCCGTAGCGGTCGCTATTTAATTTCAAATTCGAAATTAGCGGGCTTGGGGCTGTGTGGCTAATGGGAGGAGCAGCAGAAGTGGCAAGCCGTCAAGTCAAAGCAGTCGCAGTCGTCCGTCACCGTACAAGTGACAGTAGTAGTAGTACTAGTAGTAGAAGTAGTGGTTGTAGTTGTAGTAGTAGCAGTGGTAGCTCCAGCAGCAGTAAAAGTCGTAGCAGTCGCAGTCGCAGCATAGCAGTCGTAGCAGCAGTAGCAGCAGCAGTAGCAGCAGTAGAAGCAGTAGAAGCAGTAGTAGTAGTAGTAGTAGTAGTAGTAGTAGTAGTAGTAGGTGTAGTAGGTGTAGTGGCAGTCGAAGTGGTCGCAGTAGTTGTTGTAGAAGAGTAGAAGTAGTGGTAGTAGTAGTAGTAGTTGTTGTTGTAGTGGTGGTAGTAGTAGTAGTAGCAGTAGCAGTAGCAGTAGCAGTGGCAGTAGTAGTAGTAGTAGCAGCAGCAGCAGCAGTAGTAGTAGTAGTAGTGGTGGTGGTGGTGGTGGTGGTGGTAGTGGTCGTTGTGGGAGTAGAAGCAGAAAGACTGCTTTTTTTTTTTTGCTTTTTTGGTTGCGAGCTCAGATTCCCAAGCTGTCTGTCCCCGTGCAGTCAATTTGGACTGACACTCAAGACAGCAATGTCAGGGATCCGGCAGTCCATCTTTCTTTTTTTTCTTAGGCGGAGACAACTCCGCATAAATCTCGGAAAGCTGCACATTGTCAGCTGCCACCATCTGTACAGAAGCATCCCCACTTCGCACAAGAAGTCTGGCCTTGTTGGACTGTGTGAGCTGAGCGACACGCTTCTTGCGTTTGTAGTTTGGCCGAGGCTTCCCCTTGTCGCTCCTTGGAGCACGCCTCCGGCGCAAAGCCGTCCGTCGCTCTGTGGCGCTGAACCTGCCCAGGACCCGTTTGATGAAGCCGCTGGCCCTGGCTTCCTTGACAGGCCTTGCGCATGCCCCGATCAACAACTGTTGTTGCAAGAGTGGCGCCGTGGAATCGCATCCCAAGTGCTTCCTTTGGCTGCGAAAAAAGCACTATCTGGATCAGAAAGGGTCTTTTAATGGGGAGTGCGAAAAGAGCACTATCTGGATCAGATAGGGTGTTCTTTGGGACTGTCACAAACATGTCCGCCAAGCGGCTTGTACTCCTCAACAGTTGCGAAAGCGCGCTCACATGCAGCACTCTGTGGTTGAATAACCAGGAACGAGGCGATGATGTCACGTGCCACGGCATCGGATTCACTGCTGGTCATGTGGGACAAGACTCGAAGCCACACCTCCTTGGATCTTGCCGTCTTGAGAGTGCTGTCCTCTGAGATCAAGGAGTCCCGAATGGCAAAGGCTGCTCGAAGCTGACTCACCAGCACCTGCTCATCCACCTTCCAAAATGTTGCAAGTGCTTTGGCGCTTTCCACCAGCTCTGGCTGTTTGAAGGACCATCGCGGAGAAAAGATTTGGTGAGCCAGCACCAAAGGCACATCACCAAACCGCACCACCAAGTTCTCCATCGTCTGTTCCGCGAAGGAACGTATTGTCCGAAAAAGTTCTCTGATATCGGCAGGTGACCCCAAATCCTTCATTTCGCACCAGTATTCCTTGGAACTGCCACCAGTAACATCGTATCGAAGCCGAAGCTTGGACCCCCGCATTGCCCGATACTCAGCGCAGCACTCTTCAATCTTGCTTTTCCCAGCAGCTACTTCCCCTGAATCTGTTGCCAAGGCATAGGCGCTGACAGATTCTTTCTCACAATACCGGGCCAGTTCACATTTCAACCTGATGGGCACCCGCAAGCAATCCTGCAATCAAAACCTGGGCCTCTAGAGAAATACTGCTCAATCAGGAAAAGCCGCCTGCTCACACTGGTCGCAACTTCATCCAAAGAAATGTCACCTTCTAACGAGTTTTTGCAGGCACTGCAAAGGGAAAGGATGTCAACGACGGCTGCCAACAACACCTTTGTCGGCCATGAGCACAGTAGCAAAAACATCCATCTCACAGTCTTCTTGCTTTCCTTCTCGCAGTGATGCGAGAAAGCATAGTGGAGGTGAGCCAAGACAGCATTGAAGGACCTGTACAACTTCTTCATTGGAGCTAACTGGCTCAGCCATCTAGTTTTGGCAACCGCCAAAGAACTCAGGAGTGGCTCTGATGTGACTTCGCTCCAAAATTGAAGGTCTATCTGACACGCTGGATGCTGCTTCACATGCCGGAACAATGTGGAAATCACACTCTCAAGGCTGTGCAATGACTCTCCTTTGTACGCAGCAGAAACTGCCAGGTTGAGTCGATGAGCAGCACAGTGAATCGTTACGAGAGGATGCTCCACCCACTTCCGCAGCTCCGCTGCGACATTCTTTCCGCTAATGTTTTCCATGCTCCTCATGGTTCCATTCAAGGATGCCCCATCCGCAGCCATCGCCACCAATCTCTTTGTGCACACGCCCCACTGCTGTAAGACCTGTGGAACAGCAGAACAGGAACCGAGAGGGCCCTCCTATCGGATTTGCACCTATAACACAGAAAATCACCTCGTAGTCGGCCTATCTGAACCAGATAGTGCTTTTTGGGTGCTTTCAAGTGGATCTGACCTTTGTAGCCTGCACTCCTGCAAAAACAGCCTATCCGGCCCAGATAGTGCTCTTTTCGGATTTATGGATTCTCTGCCTGCTTCACTACGTCCGCAACATCAGACGCTTCCAGACCTGGTAGCATGTGATAGGCGACAGGAATGGTCTCTCGCCGTTCTGCGCTGACGTCCAAGTACGTGAGCAGAACCACCAACTTCGCATCCTTTTCATCTATAGACACGCAAAGAGCTGGGCTCTGGCTCAACTTTTGCATCACATCTACCCGCAACTCTTGCCAGATCATGTCTCGGATTTGAGATAGGATTTCTGGACCATCGTGTCCACCCGAAACATCGTCTGTCAACATCTGCCCAAACTCTATCATTTCTGAGAACACTGAACTTGACCACCCACGTTGACAGACAGTGTAGCCTGCCAGCACGTGGGGTAGGAAAGGCTGGACCTTGAACGGGCTCTTGCTCGGACTCCGTTGGTCCGAACCTGTTTTCGAGCTTTTCGTTGGAGAAGCCTCCACCGACGTGCTGCTATTTCCCCCAGCAGCCGTCGGCGTGCTTGGGACATTCCCTGCTGCCCCTGCTCTGGAGATTTCACATTCCTGTGGTGCAAGACCGCTGCTACTTTCACAGGCCAAGGCTTCCCCATGCACGCGACACGAGGTCTCGTGGCTCAGAAATGTTCTTTTGTACAGGTACCGCCCCGGCACAAAGGTTCCGCTTGCTAGACCTGACTTTTTGCGCTTGGTTTCAAAAGCCATGCAAATGCGGCAGCCAAGGCCCGACTCAGTGAGACTCAACCAAGGAATCTGAGACCTGTAGGTGTCGTATGCTTG